CGATATCGGCTTCGGAGGCAGCAGCTCAAGTGCCACTCAGTCCTACGTAGGGATACAAATATAGGTGCCCTAGATACGGGTATAACCAGTTGTATTTATAGTTGCCCTACAAACTTAAAACCGTAAGCCATAAATCCCACTTATAGCTACCCATGAGGACCTGCAAGTGGGTGAGTCACCATTTCCGCGGGGAGCGTTAGAGGGGATCGGAAGCCATCAACAAAGGGGATCGGAAGCCACGAAGAAGGAACCCGTAAAAAAATTAGAAGCTGAACTGCGGCCTGCTCTCTGGTACGCAGTGTCGTTGTCCTCGCAGGGTGGGTTGGCGTGGGTGGCCTGGGGGCCACCGGAGGTGTGGCCGCCGGCCAGGCGTCGGTGGCTGCTGTGGCTACTGGAGGAGGTGCCGTTGGTCCAAACTGGGCTGCTTTGCAGCTCCAGTGCTGTGTATCTTGGACTGGGGCACGTGCTCACCGGCACGAGATAGTGGTCATCCCACTCCCTCTGGAAATACCGATGCTCGCACCAATAGTTGAAAGAAGTCGCCTCTAGTGGGCTTCTGTGGTAGACAAAAAAAAGCATACTTGAAGGTTCATGGGGTAGTATACACTGGGGATGTAACTTGATTTGCTCTAGAGATAACCCTATTTGGGGCACTACGTATCAACACCCCATGAACCTTCAAGTAGGGTTTAAGGGGGCTTGGGCTCCCCAAAGATGCAAAGGTAATTCCAGACAGGCAAGCATCGCGCAGCTCCGCGTTCTTGTCCTCAAACGTCTGCAAAAAGTCGTAGATGGCTGCCTCAGCAAACCTTCAACCCTAAACTCTAAACCCTAAACTCTAAACCCTAAAACTCTAAACCCTAAACTCTGCACTCGCAAGCCCTCAGGAAAATATTCCGAAGTCCTCCCACCTGAAACCAAACAATGGGAAGCGCACTTGCAACTGAGTCATGTATACATGTATCTAATCAAAACAAAGAAATCTGAAATAACAAGCAAACAAAAAACACAAAAACTGTAATCAGTAGGGAAAAGTAAATAATAAGTAATGAGCAATAAGCAATAAGTAATCAACAACAAAGAAGATACAATTAATCATGAACAATCAGTAGTCAGTACTACGTAACGAGGAACAAGTTAAAATAAAAATAAAAAAAATAAAAAAATAACAAACGATAAACCATGGAAAAAAAGATAAGTTACAAGTAAGAATTATCAAGCAATAACTAATCACTGATAGCTCATGACTCATAACGAATATCTCATAACCAAGAACTACCAAATACTAACAATACCTAACAACTAATACCCAATAACTAATTACGAACAACTAATAACGAGCAACGAATAACGAAAAACTACTAACTACAAACTAATTGCCACTAACTAATGACTAGACTAAGAACTACTAACTGCTAACTACTAACTGGCAACTTATACATAGGAACAAGTAAGAAAGAGAAATAAACAAAAACGACAATGACAACAGTAATAATAACAATCGTAATAACAGTAATCATCATCATCATGATCAGTAGTTTGTGTATATAAGACGGACGTATTTGTTCCTTTCTTTCTTCTCCCTGAATCCCAAAGCCCCTAAAGCGGGGTCCCAGCTGCTGTGTCTTGGACCGCAGCAACCTGGTCAAGCCCGAAATGCGAGCCGAGATGACGATGGATGGCAGCTGTTTGAGGTGGTGGGGAGAGGATGGCGATGGCGGCCAAGAAGCAGAAGAGGCAGAGCAGAAAGAGCGGAAGGTTCCTTAGGGCTTAGGGTTTAGGGTTTGGGGGTTTGGGGTTTGGGGTTTGGGGTTTAGGGTTTAGGGTTTAGGGTTTAGGGTTTAGGGTTTAGGGTTTAGGGTTTGGGGTTTGGGGTCGCTTTTGTGCCAAGTTTTCCCCCGCAGAAGTTTTCATTTGAAGGTTTTGGGGGTCAAGGCTTAGGGATCTTGATCCAAGCTCGGCAAGAAAAAGGGGCTCTACTTAAAGGCCGAGGTTCTTGATTAAGTCTATCAGACCGTCTTCCAGGCTAAGCCTTTCCAACAAGACTTCCAAGCGAACCTGTACGTGGCCAATGTCTTGCTGCAGCTCCTGGAGAAAAACAACCAAAAGAACCAAATAAAAAAAAAAAAGAAACAAAGGCTTAGGGTTCGAAACCCTAGACCCCAAAACCCCCGAAGGCCCCCCGTCAAATTACCATGGACCACTCCTGTGGGGAGACGTGACCATCATGGTCCGCATCGAACTCGGCCGTATTAGCCTGCTCCTCCAGTGCGGACTTGCGCAAACCTTACTGTTGGCGACTATCTCATGAGGGAATGAGGTATGAGGTACCCTATATCCCCCTACATATTCCCTTTAAGGGAGTATATAGGGTACCCTACATGATATACCCTTTAAGGGATTCCCTAGGGTACCCTATCTTCTGAATTAACCAACAGTAAGAAACTGCGGCGCTGCTCTTGGGCTGCGATGACCACCACCGCGGCCATGGCCGCGTCTCCCGACTTGTTCAGGACCCACGGCGCTTTAGTCTCGACCCCAGAAAAATGCTGCACAGGATGCAGAGGGTTTAGGGTTTAGGGTTTAGGGTTTAGGGTTTAGGGTTTAGGGTTTAGGCTTAGGGTTTAGGATTTAGGGCTTAGGGCTTAGGGCTTAGGGTTAGAGTGAACCTTCCAACACTTCACCGTTCATGCCTGTCACTGCGTCCATCGTGAGCGAGATTGAAGCAAACTTAGGTGAGCGAGCTTTTTGTTTTGCTCCGGTCACAATGCATGCTCTCGGCGCGTCTGGCCCACCAACATTGGGCTCGGCCTGAGTTGCATCCACTTCCAACACCTACGAGCAGCCGTGCTCTAGGAACCGAGCACTGAGCATGAGAACAGCAAGCGCTTTGAACCAGAAAAGACCTTCAACTCCAGTAAAAAATGCAAGAAGTCTCATGCAACGCTGCACACTGGCCTCCGCTGCACATCTGCTACATGTTGGTGGCCTGGAGCTCCCCAGGGCCGGGCTGTGCCTCTCAAGCTACGTCGCCACTGCTGCGTGAGGACATGTGAGGACGCGTCCGTGTCAGGAGACCGCGCGTAATGCATGAGACGGCGAGCAGGAACTAGAAGACACACATGGTTTCGAATAGCTTGATGTTTTCTTCCGAAGTTTTCTGCCCTAAACCCTAAACCCTGAGAAGACGTGGTCTGGGTGTGCACCCAAGGTCATGAAGTGTAGGCGAAGAGGGTATTATGATATCACTCAGCTGATTAGACTTTTGCTCTTGACCATGCCCGGAGTTGAGTTGTGGCCCTAAGCCCAGGTCCACTTGAGGGGTTTAGTGTAGGGTGTAGGGTTTAGAGGTTAGGATTTGGGGGGAGTCCTGAGTGTGGCGTGCGCGCGAATGGTGGCGTCAGCGAGTTTCAGGGTTTGTAGCAGGGTTTGCGGTTTATGGGGTTTGGGTATGGAAGGTCGGCTTCTACCGAATGTCTTGCGAGCTTTGAAGGGGTTTCTGGCTGCGGGGTGGCCTTTCTGGAAGATCTCGACGTGCCTCGGAACTGTCAAATTATAGCCCTAAACCCTAAACCCTAAACCCTAAAACCCTAAACCCCTCGCCCCTAAACCCTAAACCCCTAACCCCTTGACCCTAAACCCTAAACCCTAAACCCTAAACCCTAAACCAAACCGACACGCACTCGCCTCGGCTTTTCGAGCTCGGATGCCTCCGAGACGCTCCGAGGCTGCGCAGGATCCATGGCTCCGAGCCCTGAAAGCAGAACTCGGGAAAATGCGCTACGATAGTTTGGGGTTTAGGGTTTAGGGTTTAGGGTTTAGGGTTTAGGGTTTAGGGTTTAGGGTTTAGGGTTTAGGGTTTGCAATAGTGACCCCCAAAACCCTGTTTTAATGACTGTGGCTCCTAGAGTACGCACTCTAAGCCAATCGACTCTCCTGCCAAACCGGGGGGGGGGGCATGGCATGTGCGACTGCAGATGTTTCCACAATACTTTCATACTCTTTAGAGGATCTTGAACTGCACGGACAATCCCAGGCATCAGGGATGGTGCACAGGCACCGAACACTAAAACTTCATAAAAACCTGCAAGAGGCTCTTACCAAACCCCAAACCCCAAACCCCAAACACGATGGCTTCACAATGTGAAGTGGTTTTCGTAACCTTTTTGAGAGAGAGGTTCCCACGCCTTCAACTTTGGCCTTCAAGTTACGGCCCGACCATTGAAGTGCCACCATAAACCTGACCAGATGGTTTACCAAAGTATACTATGGTAGACTGGGGTATATTGGCCCCTGACACTAGCAGTCCTTGCTAGGGATTACAGCACCCCCTTCATAATCCCTTTCGAGGACTGTTAGCTGTTAGCAGAAGGGAGAACATCCCAAGTGGCATATTCTGGTATACTCGAGTGTTTTCCACAAGTCCAGGAGCTGTAATGGGCCGCAGCGCTGACTTTTAGCTGCGACGTTGCGATGCTGTGCGGAGCGCTCAGGAAAAGGAGTCCCGGAATGGGAATTTCCGAGAGTCAGGAGCTAGCAAAGAGACCCAGCATACTAGGATCGTATTGAACTAGACCAACCCCAGCTGCTAGTTGGCCCCTGATTTTCGGAAGAAAAAACCTACGGTGACCCCTCCCATCACGCGCCTTCGTGCGGCAGGTTGTGGATCGCACAGCTAGGGGCCGTTACTTCAGACCCACCCGGGAGGTAGCTGCGAAAGCCTGGGTTGTCTTCAACACATGTGGCCACCTTGCCCACCGCAAGGGTGAGGACCGCGATGTCGGAACTTCTGGGAAAGCCCGGCTTGGTCGACGAAGTCGGGCTATAGGGCTCCCCCGCCGTGCATTTCTGGTCCTTGCAGGTGATGAGGGAGCAGAACGGGTTGCCATATTCCTGGCCATGATAGCCCCCTCCCCAGCAGGCAAGCACCCGATCGTTCCACAAACGCTGCACTCCACCTTTGTACTGCGGGTGTCTGGACTTGGGCAGGTCCAGAATGAAGACCCCCTTGACCGAGGAGCCAGAGATGGAGAGAAGGACACACTTGTTCGGCTGCTGATAGTGGCAATAGACTGCCTGCGTGGACGTCATCGCGGTAAGGTGGCCAAAGCCGAAATCCTTTCCGCCCAAGTCGAACTCGTGTTCCGGACCGGCAGAGATGGCGTCACCCTTGAGGGTCAGGATCCTGCAGTTCATCTTAGCGTCGTTGTACGCCAGGTTGTAGCAGGCAAGCACCTTGCCTGCAGACAGCAGGCTGGTGTGGACCATGCCATAGGTCACCTTAAAACTATCCACCAACGTGCTGCTGGGCCCCCGCTCCAGAGATCCCTCCTTGTCGGTCATCACCCAACAAGTCAGGTGGTGCTTCACGGTCCTTTCAACATTCTCATTGCCGCACAGCAGGACCTTGTGCTCCTCAAGGTACAACAGCGTCGGCATGTAGGTGTACTGCATGGGGCTGACCCGATTTGGCATATCCTGCTCCTTGGTTTTGGTGAGACTGCGGGCATTGGACGTCACCGTGTAGCACCTCAGAATCGAACCCGCATGCCGGCAGATGGCGACCTTGTTCTCTGAAATTTGGGCGCCGTGTTGTGTGCCGCTGGGAATGTCGAGTCGATCACCAGTCAGGACGCCACCCACAACCTCCTCAACTGCCTGGCACTGCATCCCTTTTCCCCCAATGTTATTGCGCGCGCAAACCAGGAATTTGTTGCCGGTGAGGCGTGCCAGGTAGGGGTGTCTGTTGGCCGTCTTCTCGAAGTCCACAAGCGTCATCTCGGGCTTGACATCGGCACCGAGGACTGGAAGCGAATCCCACACCTTGGCGGGGTTCTCCTCGTGTTGGCACAAGTGCGAGTGCTGACAGGTGAAGCCGCCAGAAGACTTCGGCTCCGCGACACACTGCCAATGAAATCCAGCAGCATCAATGTCGTAGCTTTGCTTGCATTTCGCGTCCGCGGTCGAGGAGTCGCCACTCAGCGACTGGCAGTGCCCATCCTGTTCCCCATAGATCTTGGAGATGAGGTTACCCTCGCATGCAGGGAAAACCCTGGAAGAGTTCACCGCCAGCTTAACGCAAGCAACGACCGTAAGATGGCTCAGCAGGCCAATTGCCCTAGTGGGCAGCTTCATTGCTACTTCTCCGCACCAGGGGATGTGATCTTGAAAACAGATTCCTGCGGTTTCATGCTCAAGACACAGGTCGCCTAGCATGGTCCCACATGCAGATGAGGCAGGGCTAGTAAATCAGATGCCGGACCTGCATCCCCTGGCTGAAGCTAGATGCTTCAATACGCAGAAGATGCAAGTACTTGTCGACCTCCAGTCCAACACCCGCATGAGTTCCGAGACCCACACGAATCCCCCCAAAAAGACCAATACCCCTTAATTAAGGAATCGACTTCAAACCGCAAAGGGATCGGTAGTATGGTTTCAGGAACGTTCCTTCACTAAGGTGTCTTGGGCTCTTTGGGTGCACGTCATACTACTTGCTGTTGGCCTTGCTCCCTCCCAGGTCTCTACGTCGCGCTTTTTTGGGCAATCGACATGCGATGGCAGCGCTGGTCCGCATGAGCAGCAGCCAGAGACTCCAATAACCCCTTAGTTATGGAATAATCCTTAAACCACATAAGGAACCCTGTAAGAATTTGAGGATAAAATTTAAGAGGCCGGCGGAGTGGCGGTCTTAGGGTTTAGGGTTTAGGGTTTAGGGTTTGGGGTTTGGGGTTTGGGGTTTGGGGTTTAGGGTTTGGGGTTTAGGGTTTAGGGTTTAAGGTTTAGTGACAAAGGTCACAGTTTTTACATTGGGGTCTACAAAGGGGCCGGTTCATGGAAAGTCCTTGAAGAACTTGCCCCCATTGCGGTCAGAGTGCACAATGCCCTACAGCCAGAACCCTCGACCCACAGCCCCCAAAGCCCCCAAACCCTAAACCCATGCTGCAAAGCTCCCAATGGTGGCAGCTGGACACCTAAACCCGAAACCTTAAACCCTCAACCCTCAACCCTCAACCCTAAACCCTAAACCCTAAACCCTAAACCCTAAACCCTCAACCCTAAACCCTAAACCCTAAACCCTAAACCCTAAACCTTCAACCCTAAACCCTAAACCTTGCATCAAAGACTCCCACTCTCCGGCATTGGCCGCAAGCCTAGTCTCCTTCGTCCGATTCTTCGGCTGAATTCCTTTAAGGGTTCCTTTTTAAGGGCTCCAAAAAGGGTTCCTAGGCTAGGGTTTTAGGGGCTAGGGTTTTAGGGTTTCGGGTTTAGGGTTAAGGGTTCCTATAAGGGCTAGGCTAGGGTTTTAGGGTTTCGGGTTTAGGGGTTTCGGGTTTAGGGTTAAGGGTTCCTATCAAGGTTTCCAATAGGGTTCCGAAAGGGTTCCCAAGCGTATCGGAGGCTTCTTGGCTCAGAATACAGGCGTGTTGAGAAGCAGAACAGGGTTTGGGGGGCTTTGCTTGCATTCGGAGCAAAAACAGTCATTGTTTCATGTCCCAGCCCCTATACTATAGTAGCGGGGCTCGGTTTACGCTATAACAGCTACTAATATAGTCTCCTATACTATAGTAGGAGGGCTTCGGGTTTGCCCTAACCCTAAACCCCTAAACCCTAAACCCAAAACCCAAAACCCTAAACCCTAAACCTCAACTGATCGTCTTCGTGGTCTGGCTGGTTATGAGACCCACGCTTCAGGTTGAGTCTACGTAGGCAGCCGAAGGCCTAGCGAAACACCGACGAACCTCATTAGGGTTTAGGGCTTAGGGTTTGGGGTTTGGGGGTTGGGGGTTGGGGTTCGGGGTTTGGGGTTGGGAGTTGAGGGTTTAGGGTTTAAGGCTTAGGGTTTAGGGTTTAGGGGTTGAGGGTTTAGGGTGGTGCCAAAACTCCCAATCATTGGGGTTTTAGGCTTGTTGTCGCCTTAAAGAGTGAAGTCCGATGCCACCTCAGCTAGAAGGCAATGTGGCAATCCAAGCAACAGGGTTTAGGGTTCAGGGACTTGGGGTTTAGGGCTTAGGGTAGGGTTTAGGGTTTAGGGTTCAGGGTTCAGGGTTTAGAGTTTAGGGTTTAGGGCTTAGGGTTTAGGGTTTAGGGTTTAGGGTTTAGGGTTTAGGGTTTAGAACCCTAGACCCCCAAACCCTGAACCCATCTTCCAGCTCTTCGGTTGATGGTTTGCTCCGCTTTAGAGGCTTTTTTGGGGCACTGTTCCCCCTAACAGCCTACAAAACTCTAGACAAACCCTTAACACATATGCGTGTGGATATATATGTATATAGCCGTCAACCCACAACCCTAGACCCGACCTGCAGCGAAGAAAAACCTTTTTGGTGTGACAGGCAACTCCTACCCCTACAAAGAACATGCTGGGCTGCTGGCCACCAAATCCCTTTGGATCGCCTCCCTGGCTGTTTTCCTGTCGCCGGGGTGAGGATTGAGCTCCCAGGCGTCGGGGTATATGGATATATATGGATATCTGTAGCGTTCGGTTTTGTGGCTGTTTGGGACTGCCTTCACCCTAAACCCTAAAAATTAGAAAGTGGGCCGTTCGCCGGGCCACGCTCGGGACCCTTTCTCGTGTAAATCCTGCGGGAGAGCAAGCTGAGGGCAGCTGCGAACGCGGAAGGCTTTCCGAATCTAGCCACAGCCTTTGAGGGTTCGTGCGTTATAAGACACTTGAGGTTTGGTGTTTTACAAAACGCTGCCTTATGAAACACTAGTATTGGGGCGTTGGGTTTCGGATGACGTTTGCGGCTCCGGGGCTTGAGAGTGCCGGGGACTGGGTGGATCTTCACGCCGAAGTGCAACACAAGGCATCTCCTCAAACAGCACTCATACATGGCCAAAAAATGACCCTAAGGTCCGTATCTGAGGAGCGCATAAACTGCCGACTTTTTCAGCTGCCGCGAGTATTGGGTGCGAGAGGTTTGCTTGTGAAGCTACAACCTCGGAACGCCGCAGCCAATATGCTCGTTGCCAATGCCTTCTTCGGCACAGCGGGCGGCAGCAAAGTGTTCTTTGCCAGATGTGAGAGCCAGGCGAGTGGAGTGGCTTCTTTTTTGCCAGCCTTGTCTTAGGAATTTTGAATGGCTGTGGTAGTTTTTCGGTTTCGATCGTGTTCAAGGCTAGCGTGCAAAGAGATGCAAGCCACGTACGTCCAGTCCGGCAGGCCACTCTCATGATTCCTCAGAGAACAGGTCGGGCATAACACTTGGAAATGCACTGTCGCGGATTCTACACCAAGATTCAGGAATGTAAGAGAGACCTTTGGCAGACTACCTCGCAATGAGCAACGTGGCATGCAGCTGAGGACGCAGAAGGAGATTTGGCGCCTTCATCTGCATGCCTCCCAAGGCCCAGCTCTCGGTCTTTCAGCAGCACGCTAATCTGTGCGGTGCTGCCGCCTAAGAAAAAACAATACGGTACAATCTCGCAATGCCACGAAGCCACAGGCTCGTTGCAATTGCCTTGCTCGGTACACAGCAAGGTGCTCTTGGCCATTGTATGGCAGTGGTAGTTGTTTCCGTTTTGATCGTGTTCGAGGCTAGCGTTCAAAGAGATGCCAGCCACGTACGTCTAATCTTGCAGGCCATTCTCATAATTCCCCAGGGAAACAGGTGAGTATGGCACTTGGAATGCACGTGTCGCAGATTCTACACCAAGATTGAGGAACGTAAGAGAGACCTTTGGCAGACTACCTCGCAATGAGCAACGTGGCATGCAGCTGAGGACGCAGAAGGAGATTTGGCGCCTTCATCCACATGCCAGCTCTCGGTCGTTCAGCAGCACGCTAATCTGTGCGGTGCTGCCGCCTAAGAAAAAAAACAATGCGGTACAATCTCGCAACGCCACGCAACCAACGTCGGTAAACAGCAAGGTGCTCTTGGCCATTGTATGGCAGTGGTAGTTGTTTCCGTTTTGATCGTGTTCGAGGTTAGCGTTCAAAGAGATGCGAGCCACGTGCGTCTATTCTTACAGGCCACTCTCATGATTCCTCAGGGAACAAGTCGGGCATAACACTTGGACATGCACGTGTCGCAGATTCTACACCAAGATTGAGGAATGCAAGAGGTGGCATGCAGACGAATACAATACACAGCAGGACAGTCTTGCAACGAAACGCAGCCAGCAGGCTCGTTGCAATTGTCCGGCTCGGTACAGCAGGCTGGCAGGGAGGACTCCAGGCGAGCATGTAGTTAGAGTTGTAAAAAGGGTTGAGGTTATAGGGTTTCGGGTTTAGGGTTTAGGGTTTTGGGTTTAGGGTTTAGGGTTTTGGGGTTTTGGGGTTAGTAATGTTGTATTGTCGCACTAGCCGCTTCCTTTCTTTTTGGCAACCCACTGCGCACAACGAATATTAGGAACCGCATCTTGAACTTGAGTGTTGAGTATAGGTCCCGCCACCTGTGTATCACCCCTAAACCCTGAACCCTAAACCCTAAACCCTAAACCTTAAACCCTAAACCCTAAACCCTTCCTAAATATCACCCATATCTTTGAACAAGCAGGTCCTTCAATGCAGCGAGCCGCTCCACAAGGGCATAAAATACAAACCGGAAGGCATGATACCATCTAGACGAGACTGGATCTCCACAAGTCTGGTCTGAGGCTCGGGTTTAGGGTTTCGGGTTTAGGGTATAGGGTTTAGGGTTTAGGGTGTAGGGTGTGTCAGGAGAGGGCGCGCGCTCGGGTGTGAAACACCCCGGGCCGCACGCGTTGCTTGTCAACCCACCCGCTACCCACACTATACTCTACATTAGGGTTTAGGGTTTTTTGAACTGATTTTCTTTCGCACTGATGCTTGTTTCTACGTTTTAAAGTTGCGGTGATAGGGCGTTAGCTAGGTTGAGGGTAACCTCGGCCCCTTTCGGGCCTTCGGCGTGTCAGGGCCCGTGGAGGCCCGCAACTTCTAGGGGCTTGCCACGGCTTCTGGAGGCTTCCAAAAGTTGTTGTGAAGGCACGCAAGGGACTTCCGAGCCTCAGAGGAAGCCCGCAAAGTCTGAAATGAGATGCTTCCCAGAACCATCGCTTTCAGTATTTTAAAATCACTGCTTCATTGTGGGTCCAGGCGAATCTAGGAGCTGTGAATGACCTTCTTGTGGACCCCAAAATGAAGCTTTTTTGAAGGCGAACTTTCTTTCTCAAGGGGAGTCGGAGTTTTGGGGGGGTCTCCGAATACTGTTTTGCTTGAAAAATTGAAAAATACCCCCCCCTTGATTCCAGGGGTG